AAAGAATGAGTTCATTATCGAGCCGATACGTATCAGTAACTGATCACAGTCCAAAAGCTCGTAGCAAACTTCAAAAGAGGCTAATGAAGCCATCGTAGCATTTCTTTAATTAGTAGAAATCACTGCGTGATACTTCATAATATGCCCGACAAACTCAATTATAAAGATATTTCATCAGTCTGTTCATTCACAGAGACACTCATTTAGTAAACTCCTTTTTTCTTGCTAGACTTCACTAGATAAACACGATGGATTAAGCCTTCGAGCGATAATCTTCCCGTTTGAGGGATGCGCCTCGCACCCGACTTTTATTCAGAATCGTAGTGGCGTATTGAATGCGTATGTGACCGATACAATGAATTGCGAGGGCCAGCCGATGTACAAATCAGTGCTTGTATACACCCAGACGAGGCCTGTACCGATTAACTGACTATGAAGGAATGGAAGGCTTGATCGGCCTAGCCAGATAACGACGCGGAATGGAAAGCTTGATCAGCCCAGCCAGATAACGGCGCGAAATTCCAACCGGTGACCATGTATGAGTGATAGGGCGCCACTTGCCACTATCTCAGCTTCGTCTGTCAAGCAAACATAAAATTGGAAAATTTGGTTCATGGTGTTCCGATAGACAAGATCGGAGTTTCATGTTTAGGCGCAGTTAAGTTAGGCTACCTGATTGCTCCCAAGTGCCTCCTAAGAAGGCGTTCTCGATGTTGGTGGGCAATTGGTTGGTGAAAAACTTTATCATAGGGTTTTTCTGAGACTACTTTGCTGAGGAACCTGATCAAATTCCAAAACTGATTTCAAGAGCACAGTGGCTGATTGCATGACTAGCGTGATGCAGGCTTCCTTCTTACTAAAACTTTTGCACGGTTTGTGTGTTTCCAAAACTTTTCACTCTGGTAAAAGTCTGATTCAAGCCAGATGGATTTCGTCCAAAAAAATCTTTCCATTTGCTGCAAACTAGTTTGTGTGGAATGCATGAATTCTGTGATTCGTTCGAATATTTTTAGATGCTAATTTCACAAATCTGCGAGGCTATGTGTTTAGGCCAATCACAGCGCTGCCTAATTCGATTCCTCCAACTTCATGGAATTATTATTAAAAGAATATCAGAGGAATCCAAGTCGAACACACATCTAACGTATTCTTTCACGATACAATCTGAATTATGAAACCGTTTTTTTCACAGAAATTGTTTAAAAGATACGTAAGCAAACAGCTGCTTTTGCTCAAAACTGCTCGAAAAAATCACCTGTAAAGCTTGCTGCAGTATTGTTGTCGTCAACAACAAGATACGGTCTATTTTTCACATTTCTTGTCGGAATGTCAGGCATTCATTCCATATATTTCACTCGACTTTGTTACTGCCACGTAGACCAAACAACAAAGCATAAAATAGTTGCATTAAATTCTAGAATGCGCTTCAGATCGATTCTTCCGATTTTCGAGTTCTTTTTTCCTTCTGTCTGAACCCAGACCCGGATCATTACTATAAAAGTCTAGCAAAGGTCACTGTATGGAACAGATCTTTTCTCAACTGGCAGCCGTTATTCTACAATTTCTCCCATCTTTCAAAGTGGGATTAGGTCTAGCTTCGAGCGCACAGTCTTCGTTACTTCCACCAGACTAGTAGGCCTGATTTTGAGCTCGCAGCTGAATTTTTTNTTTTTTCCAGCAGACATGACTGTAAGATATGTATGGGGGAGGGACGAAAGGTTGAAAGCGGGTAGCGATGATGCTCGTGCCCCCATCCCCTCACTGATCTCGGTATCCCTTCTCTTTGATAGTTGAGCTGTGTAAAAGTTTTGTATTAGTGATCAAAGATAGTGCCACAAATTTCAAAATTTAGCCCCAACAAGTACCCCTATGTAGGAATTTCTCCCACGCGCTCCTAGCTCTGGCATACTTCAAACTTCTTTTGCCCCTACAATTTCCTTATTTGTACTTCACTTAGTTAGAAACTCAGTCCGGTGCCTGACCTCACAACTGTCAAGCTAATTCGTACGATAGCTCCCCTTAACTCTTTTTGTACAGTCTTTGCGTCCTTTCAAAGAGATCTACCACTGATTTACGGCTCTGAAAGGGCTAAGTCGGGGAAGCTCTGGTTGTTTTGATCACATAGTGACCCCTAGAGCTCTTATGATAGTCGTTCCATGTATGAGTGTTCCACGGGAGTCTACAAACATAGGGCGTTTTTTGAGCGTTCTTTTTTGAGTGTGAGGCACAGGAAATGCAAATTATCCCTTTCTCATCAGAACAAGCGCAAAACTGCCTAATCGTAAATAAGGTATTGTTGAGCAAAAATCATTATTATTCATTAAAAGTTCGTATAGGACTATTATGGTATCTGGCCATTGAGTTTTCAGCTTTGAATGCGTAAGGTAAATAAGAACTAGATTTCAGTGCCTATTCACATTCATCGAAGAGAAACTAATTAGTCTCAGTGGGAAGTCTGTAAAAAAAACTCCTCCACCTCCTTATTACATCGTTCTACACAGATCGTTTCCTTCTAGCCCGGAGCTATGGACGACTTACTACAGGAGGTAGGCTACAAATTCTTTCTTCAGGATCTCCTGACTTTCTTGTAAAAACCTTATTATTAGCCTGATGCTGGTATCGGATCCGTTTTTAAAAATAAGGAATCGGCAAATGTTGCCTTCAGATTGAAAGCTCTCATCTAGGTTGTCAGCACCTCTTCTATGATAATTTATAAGAATGTTAAAAAGATGCCTACAAAAATATCTAATTTCTTTTTTCCACAAAAAATATAACTTATAAAAATTGTATCTGTGTGATAGCCCGTTAACAGACGAGTTTTGATCCTGGCGAGAGCTTTAACTTGTGGATGTTCAAGCTCTGGTCTTACCAAGGTTACAAACCTAATTAGGTTAACATTTCCACCCCTTCGTCCAGAGCCCGAAAATCGAAAAACCAATTGAGATCGATCCCCTCATTATGGGCTACGGCGTTATGTTGAATTTCTTTGCAATTATCCACTTATGCAGGGGTGCACCCCTACCTTTTATTCATGTGCGTACTATGTAGAAGCCGGTGCTCCGTGCGCCATTCCTTTTCTTGGAGTCTATACTTCTGCTTTTCTTTGTTTGTTTATCAGTTCGAAGGGATAGGTAGTTATTGGCTTGATGTTTTCCCTTATTATTCATTCGCATGGTTGACCGATTTAGATATAAACATGCGTCTGGATAGCTGCAGCTTGAATTTTGCAAATATTGACAAAATATTTACCCAGTTTGCTTGCCAGAAGATGAGGGTTGCTTATTACTTATGTGCTTGGCTAATAATAGCCGATGAATAGGACACAAATACCTTATTTCCAAGGAATGAAGACTACAGCCGTTGCTGTTTTCGGGACGAGACTATGATGTCGTTTCTGAGCTTCTTGGCTTGCATCAGAATCCTTACTGAAATAATTACCCTTAGGTGACTTACCTACTTAGTCACTATGTCACCGGTCCAAGCCATATAAAAAGCTCCACCCCCTTTACAAGCGTTCGTGGAGCATACTGTTGAAAAGCGAGTGGCTCCGCCTCCGCCAGCAAAGAGCAGAGTGCAGCTTTTGACTCTGGTCGGGGTTCAGCTTGCTCCGTAGTCTGTCTCCTCTAAATTTCATGTTTTTTGAAAGAAAAAACTCGATAGAATAGAATAGAATACAAGGATGATATGAGAATTTGAGTTCACCAGGACTTCTAATTCCCATACAGCTCATTATACTTCATAGAATCGTTATGTTCCGCAGCTGCTCATACCGAAGCCAGCCCACCAGAATTTGAGTTCACCAGGACTTCTAATTCCCATACAGCTCATTATACTTCATAGAATCGTTATGTTCCGCAGCTGCTCATACCGAAGCCAGCCCACCCTGCTGAGTCAGTGTGTGGGAATATAAACCACAACAAATCAATTTTTGAAAGAATAAAGTCTCAAACAGAGCGTAGATACTAAAACTATCTAGTTGAGACCGGGTTCGTATGGATGAGGACAAGTATCGTATTGTACATGGGCTACCATTGTCAAAGCCAAACACACAACCAAACGCCACGTTCAGCATTTCTCAGATTTTATCTTGGCGTTTATTATTCCCACTTTAAGGGTGCGCCCACGTATACCACAATGTAGAATTGATTGTTACATTTGATTGTTTGTTTGTCTATTTGTTTGGAGTACAATTAATACTTTTCCCTACCCGTAAGAGCCGGAAGACGGGCAGTAGAATCGGTTTTGAGTAATCCATTCGCTGCATGCAGTGTCGCGGACCATTCGCTTCGCCGTTGTTACAGCTCTGGAGCTCTTCATACAGCAGCTCAATCGATATACGATCATTATTTTAGGCCCGATTCCACTGTTAGTCCTTTTGTCCCTGTATTTCCTACCCACTGATGCATTCTGCTGCATTCATTTGCGCGCGGCGTCCCTCTCGCCGCTAAGCGACAGTTTCGATCCTACTGCACCACACCCGTACGAGCCTGGTATCACCTAGACAGTCGTGGAGGAGTGAAGGCTCCGATGGCTCGGGCGTTTAGCATTTTATCCTCGAACAACGCCTTCACGTCGTAGCGGTGCACCTCCTCCACACAGTCGAGTCTTCCAAATTGGCATGAAGGGCCTTCCAGAGTCTATTTAATGATTAATTCGCAACGAAAGAACCCTACTGACTTTATAGCGAACTTTTTCTGATCAATTATTCCGAAATGGCACTCATGGCTCAGGGGAATTCTCCCCAGGGTTGTTAACTACTGAGTTACCTGTCCCTCGGTTATACAAATGAGTTAGCCGATCCAATCATTCCATGGGTTTTTATCCTCTTACTTCCTTGTCTGGAAACTGGCCAACTAAATTTTGATCTTGTGGGTGTCGTTGATTGGACTCTTAAATCCCAACGCAGTTCTCTTTCACTTTTATATTGACTTCCTACATGAGTTGTCCCAATGGCTGTTTGAATGTTTATCAGGTGTAATTAAATCACTCTAGTTTTTCAGTTCGAAGTCAACGTTACCGATTCGACTACTGAAATGGCCGATCTTACGGTTAATATCGGTCCAACGACCTTTATGTGTATTCTATATGTTGTATTAGGTAAGTTCTAAAGTAGTTCGGAGAACTCCGTCCGATTATTGTATTTTCAGGAATTGTCTCGGTATTCTGTAATATACTTAATCTAATGACATGGCTAACAAATCGAGAGCTGAGGCGAAAATACGTCTATTTGATTGCACTGGACGCCAGTGAACTTGTGAATGGTAATCATTTGGATAATTTTATAGTGCAAGCGAGCCCCACTCGAGTACTTTTGCAGCCTACGATATCTAATCACCGCATAGTCAACTAGAATGATAGGGATAACCCCAAGCGAGTCTAGCACCAGTGAGCCGCCACTTGCCATCACACCGCCTCCGCCATAAGAAAGGTCATAGACCAGCGAATTCTGTGGTGCGGTTCCTGGGTAGCTTACGACAAAATATAGAGGGTGCTCTAGTACGCCCCCGGCAACATCCAAACACCCACTACTTGCCTGGCCTCAATTTCTGCTGGCCGCGGAGCAATTCGAGTCAAAAGGTATCGGTGTTGAAAACCCGTCAATGGCGAAGCGTCTATAGGTTAAGCCGCTGTAGACAATCTCTGAAGTCAAGCATGCAAGCAGGAAAAGTGGGGCTTGGGTAACATCTATACATCACTACTTTCGTTGAGGCTTACTGAACTTTCTTTAATCTCGCTTGAAGATTCCTAGTGTGCGGGGTAACCTTTACTCCAGTGTCGGAAGCACATAACATCGATGGAGTTCCGGAAATACTGAGACGTTAATGGAAATTGTGGAAAGGGCCCCTAACGCTCTCACACGACAATATTGATATGGCGTTCGAATAGCTGGATTTGCGTAGAGCCCGAGGTCTTTCATGTTGACAGAAACAAGAAGTACTGTATCGCTGAAAATATACGAGATCCTATGAGCATTCTTGAGGTGAAGTACCTTTGCCCTAGCAAGACCTGAAGGTATATCCCATGCGTTGCCCAATCCATCATATTTATATGATGGTTAGAGCCTGATGAAGTTCCTCTTGCTATTTTAGTCATGTACACCATACACTTTGATGTCATCTACGTAAATGCGAACATTAGCCATGGGCTGTGTAATCAGATATTTCGGTAAATCATATGTGTACGCAAAGAATAGTAGAGGTGACATATACCCTAAGAGACACCTCTCGTACTCAATGACGCTTTGAGAAAGAGTTTCTGACGTCAACACAAATATATCTATCACATAAGTATGACTGATTCCAATTGAACATTGTCACGGAGACATCCAATTGCCTTATTTTTGTGAAAAGCGGGCTTATATATACCCTGTTAAATGCCTCCGGTATATAGCAGTGAATAACATCTACATACTGACCTTTGTAAACAGCCAATCAGCCACCAAAGAAATTGTAAGACTCCTTTCACGAATCCTTGTTGTTCTAAGGGCATTTAAAGGTTTTCGCGGAAGTGAGCCGTTTGTCGCGTGCCAGTTTTTCCAGAACCTTAGCAGCTGGTGACGTAGTATTGATAGGAAGGGAAGAGGGGCTCAGGTTAAAATTCGGAGCCTGGAGAAAAGGTGATAATAGATTACTTCAAATCTCAAGGACTTCTCCAAATATCAGTGATGTATCTAATATCATATATATGACTTTATATAAGGGAAGTGCATCTTTATAGAATATTTAAGGGATGCCATCCGACGGCAATGAACGAGAAACTCTGAGTGACTTTAGAATTCTGTTTACATCTCATGAGCTGCTGTAATATCAGTGCCAAAATCTAATAGAAGGTTACCCTCTATGATTTTTTAGAGAACGGGTGTACTCGGTTTTTAAGAGCGTATGTGGTTCATGCAATGACTTGCGACGTCCACCAATGTAGAAGCCTTTGCCTTTATCCTCCCAGAGGAGTCCGGTGGCAAGAAACCGACTTTGGAGGATGGCAGGACTGCTTGAACTAGGCGAGTATCGATCCTGGATTCAATACCCGGACCATGCATGTATGAGTTATTGTGTAGTGTTACTGCATCATACGTAGGCTGCCTTTTATATTTCGGGATTTGAGAACAGGAACAAATACTATTTATTGAAAATCGCTTGACTGCCTTTCAAAATTCTCCACATTAAGATCTATACACTTTTGTATGGGCTCGAATCAATTTTTAAAGCACTTTTGCCACTCTGATTTAGTAACTCTAAAACATGCATTATGAACGCATCAACGGCTTATTCAGGTGTCGAAAAGCGTTGACCTCTCATTTTATTTTTTACGTACGGGATGAGAAGAAGTCACCCGGGGACCACGTGGCTGATGACCTGTCAAATCGTTGTTTTGAGTGCTCAAAAATGCGGTTGTTTGAGCTGATGTGTTGGAGCTCGCATTGACGTGGCGTGGGATCCAACGCCAACAAATTTTTTTACGGTCAAATGTTCATGCAGAAAAGAATGTAAGCTAGTCCCACTAATGCTTAAGGTTGCCTCAATCTCACGATAGGTTACATGACGATCTCACGGTATTAGTTTGTGCACAGCATGAACTGTTTCCGGAACGACAACTGATTTTGGACGACCTCCACGAAATTCGTCTTCGAGTGAACTACGACCTCGGATGAACTCACTGTACCATCGATAAACACTGATCCTGGATGAAGCTTCATCCCCAAAAGTTGAACCAAGTTCATCCATACGTTTCTGTTGAGTTAGTCCACGTCGAAAGTTGTCGCGCGAAAATGCCCACGGTTAAACTCCATAACTTGGCCGAAACAAAATCTTATAACTTAGTGTAAACAACACAAATCGCGCTCAAATTTTGCAACGAACCTCAAAATAGTCAAACTTTACGATAGTGGTGTCAGTTGCTAGATTGCTACACTAGTGTTTCCAAATCCCGAAATATAAAAGGCAACCCTCGTATACTGATATTTCTTCAACAACAAATTTGGGAGGTGCAGCAAGACTGAGGTTGGAAACCTATAGTATAATACTTTAAACCCATATCAGAGTGCTTCCACCATTAGCAACAATTTTGTTTGATATTCTATACTATCGAAATAAACTCTGTGTATAACCAAAAGTTAATATGGTATTTTAAGCCATCAGTTACATTCTGGTTGGATCAGGTCGAGGATTGGCTCTGATTGGTGGTTACCTAGCTTCACCTATCATTGTACGGCAATGCTTTTTCGAGGTAATTCATTTCAATTCAGTTATTGAACAGTTTAATGCATTGATATGTATTATCAGAGCAGAAATTCGTTGAACCGAAATGAGGTCCACGGCACTCGATAGTCATGAGTTGGAGCATCGGCTCTGTACAGGCAGTACTCAACCCCTTCACAGAAATCGTCAAGTGCCGCTCAACAACAACTGATACATACAACCAAAACTGTTGTGGCCAAGGACGTGGGCCCTCAGTTCCCAATAGTTCCTTAACGTTTAGGGGTAGGGAGGAGGCGAAAAGTAATTTACAGAATTCCGGGCGTTGAGTGGCAACAGCCAACCAGATTTTGTGCACTTGTAGCGCCCCAACCTTTGCAGCTTCGGCCCGTCAACCCACATTCTATTGTCTCTGATTTCGACCTATTACCCACCTTACAAAAACTGACATTTTAGAGACTTCGAATAAACATTTTCATATAATACCTGGACCGATTAACGGCTTCCTACTAGGGTGATCTTTTAAATTTCAGAAATACTGGCCGCATTCTCTGATTCTCGGCACGGAACTGCCAGCATTTGTGATAATCCTGATTTCCTGCGAACGTTTATGTGCTATACTTAGTCCAGCCATGTATAATCGTATTTTCTTGGGACATTCAAAGATAGCTCTGCTAGCAATGGTACCGATTGCCGGCTTAGTAAGTTTTAACCTCGCTTAAAACTTTTGTCCTGGACCATTCAAATCACCTTAATAACTATTTTTTATGCATACATATGTATTTATACGGTGGCCATTACGTCGATTTTTCGACTTGTTCCGCCTTTTTTTCAGAACCTTTAAGTGTAGCACTTGTGAATCTTATACTAATTAAGATTTGTTCACTTCAATTCTCATAAGATAAATCTTGCGACGTAAAACTGACGAAAATAGAAACGAAATAAATAAATGGTCAAAGAAGAAAAAATAGTTCACTACCAAAACCATGAAGTTATCAGTCCCTTGTTACAGATTTCTGTCACCATCGGTGGGCTGAGCACTATTGGATCAGCTGGTGATATTGTAGCTACCACTCAACACTGTGCTATTATTAGCAGTACGGCTATTTGGTAAGTGCCATTTTCGGCCCTGACATTGTATGACAACTGAATCAGCCGATCATGAGGATAAATTTTCTGACGTCGATCAGTCCCGTCTCTTGGATGCACCCCCACAGCTGAGTTCCATCCAGAAACGTGGCGCTTTGAGTGTGGCCTATAGAAAGACTTGCGGTAGCCAATCGTTGCAAAAGCCAGTGCCTTCACCCTACCTCACGAATACGGTGCCGATTAACCGAGTCAGAAGGAATGGAAGGCTTCTTTGACCTTAGAAAGGAGCGAGTATTGAGTGATTCAAGACTACGTTTGGAATAGTGCGCGTTATTCGCCCTTACACCATTTCTAGCTGGTTCACTCACGCGAGGGTTGGTAGCGGTTACTTGCCCTCACAGCGGGCACTTTGGCTCTGCCACTGACTCGTTTAGCTTAATTAAATACAACTTTAATCAAGTCAAGGTATACCTTGTGTACGTCGGTACCTGCACGCAGCTGTATTTATTGGAATTAGCTTCTGAATAACGAAAAAGTTATTGTCTAAAGTTGTGCAACATAGATCGGGATATCCAGATGTTTCTATTCTGTTGTATGAAAGCAAAAGTGAGGCAAGCTACAATCGTTTGGATCAGCAAATAATATTTTCGAACTCTGAAACAGTTTTTTGCTTGGGGAACTTCAGAAAGATGAATGACTCGTTTCTATTCCGTCACTGAATCAGTTAGCTAATTCAAGTTCAGCTTTAATAAAGTCAAGGTGTACCTTGTGTACGTTGGAACTTCTGTGCAAATCTGTAGGACCCCAAGACAGCAAGAAAGAAATTGGTTTGTTATGATTGAGAAAAAAGTGATTGTGAGCTGATCCCACTGATTTCATCTCCAAGCGGCACGGTCAAATACTCCAGAATGAAGCTTGATCCTCTGCGTTCTTGCACGAAGCCCGTATGGGTTATGTTGTGGGAGCATAGCCCATCTCCCGATTAGGGATAACCAAATTAATAAAAAATCAAACTAAGCAATGCTTTCAGGCACATTGCCGAGACTGCATTTATTGATGAGACGTATTGATTAGAATCTTTTATCCCCTATTTTTATAATTAACTACTATTTAAGGTACTCAACGTTTCATTTTGTTTTCATTGTGTTTGCATACGTGGTATCGTTCATATCAATATTCACTGTAAGGAGAATATCAAGGGTGAGTTTTTCGATTGATTCACAAGGCCATTTCAGAGTTTCGACAGTAAGGCAGGGAAAAATATTGAAACAAATAAAGAATGAAGGAACAAGTATTTGACGTTATTCGATCTCACTTTGGAATGAGCCGCGCATCTGACTTCCACTCATAATCGTAGTGACCCACTGAATGGGTATGCAGTCAACTCAGTGGATTGCGGTGACAAACCGATACAAGTCAAAGTTTCCATTACCCCGGCCAAGTCTAGTACCGATTGACCAAACCTATAAGTATGTAAGGCTTGACTGACCATGGCAAATTCAGCTGAGCTCAGTAGCAGTAGTGAATCTCACAAGACACGCGCACGAAAATCGATTGGGGCATCTTTCGGAGAGGGAAGTGAAAAGAAGAGTAAGATTCATGTGCCCTCACAAAGAGCAGAAAAGTGCACAGGACGAAAAAGACTGTGGATTAGGGGAAATTATTGTAGTTCCTCCAGTTTGAAGATATCACAACTTCCGTGACCCTGAAATGAGTAAAGGAACAACTACAAAACTTTGTATTCACTTCTGCTTTCGTCATACTATACTACATTATTTTTGCATTTTACTATGAATGCATCTTTTACGGACATAGTTTTCAATTGTTCAGTTGATCTGATGGATGGGTCTTACACAGCAGAGGTTCTATAAGTTGCAGAGATTATGCCCAAGACAGCATTTAGACTTATTTGTTACAGAAATACTCCCAAGGAAAAATCGGTGGTGATAGCCGGATGGGAGTGATGTTGATTATTACCGGATCGTCCATAATTCTTATCGGATCTGAATCGATAGTGATGTTGTTTATCCGATGGAATGTGATGAAATTCAGTGATATGGTAGTCGCGATCACCTACGCCATGCCAGGGTTAGTCAGCTTGTTCGTTGGCTAGGGAGACTTGCTCGTAACTTATTTCTGGAGTGTTTTCAGATTCCTGTCAATTCTAAATACAGTAATCAATCTGATATTTCGCCCCGAATTTCGCAATCAGCTGTTTCATATTATTGGCGTCGGGTTGGTTTTCTTTCTACATATCTTCTTAAATAAGGATAATTATTAATAAGGACTACAAGTGGTGGTGTAGTGGCAAGTGGCGCACTATATCACACGCACGGTCAGGGGTTCGAATCCCGGATCGATGCCCGCCTAGGCCAACCAAGCCTTCCATCCCTCCGGGGTCGGTGAATTGGTACCAGACTCGTCTGGGAGGATAAAAGCACTGACTTGTACATCGGCTGGCCACCGCAAGTCATTGTATAGGCCACAAACGCACTCATTACGCCACTACGATTCTGAATGGAAGTCGAGTGCGGGGGCGCATCCCCTGACGGGATTGATTAACGCCAAAAAACTTTATCCTTATCCTTATCCTTTAAGGACTACAAGTAAGAACGAGGGAGAATAATAGGGACAATTAGTTACTGAGGCCTTGATTAATACCTTAGAAATATCCAACATACAAACTGGTAATTGTTATACATTTATATGTACATAAGAAAAGAGTAATAAATCACATAATCAAGGCTGCCAACCTAATCATTTCCCCCCAGTTGGGATTATGCCCAGCATAATTATTAACCTTTTCGTATTTGAGACGGATTTCGAGCTTTCTTTATGACTTTCTAATCTATGCAAAGGGTGAGCCAACGGTTACTCAAGCGGTCCAAGTTAATTGATTTGAATTGGTTCTCACGATTCAATTTCCCGTTCCCAGAGGCGTAGTTGGTCTTCCGCTGCTCCTTTAAGAGTGCTTGCTTTCCAGTTAAGCTTCCCCACTCTGTAAGCAATAACGGATTTCAGCGTCGCTCTGGGGCAATCCCGGGCTTCAATTTGTGAGGCTGATTTGGAGAGAGTTCCCCAATGACAAAAGTAAGAGAAATGGAATTTGCAGAATGACTACTATCTCCGTATAATTGACTTTTTCAGGAGTGGACCACATGCCTCTCGTTCTGCGTGGGCCAGCAAGACAATGGCCCCTACACGAATGAAACCTTCTCCTACAGTACAGACGGTTCCCAGTTGATATTCTCAAGATGTTCTTCAATCTTGGATGGATCGAAATTGACGCGATGTAGCAGGGTCTTCGTTTGAAAGTAGTCATACCAGTACTGTGGTACCAAGCTCGACCATAGAATACTTTACGTCTCCGTATGATCAATGCAAATCTTGAAATCTACTTATTTGGGTGCAAAATGGGTAATTTTACTTTTGAATTCTCTCAAGCCATGATCACAACTTTAAACGGTAATGGAATGAAGCTCTGCTATGGGTATATAATGGAGTAGGCTGACAAAGGAATTCATTCTATGATTTACCAAAGGTCAACTCAAGAGATGGTTCCTTTATCAAATGAATCGTTCTCAATTGTGTAAATACTTTTTCTTGCCTTGTGTTGACTAGCCAATAAACGTTTTATAAATGTTTTGATCAACAGGAGTAAACCGAGCCGCAAACTATCCATGGTGCTCCTAAATTTCAAGCCCATATGGGTGTCTGTGCTGCATGATACGTCGAAACTCTTAGTCATAGTAAAGTATCCCTTCCGACTATTACGAATAGTAGTTTAAAGGCACGTTTTACGATAGTTCTGAGGTACCCGTCTTTATTCAAAAAGGGAAGTATAGTTCGAGAAAAATATGGGTTCTTAAAGTAGGGGAAATAGAGGTTGTACGAGAGAACCATGATGGGAATAACATGGAAGCAGTATTTGAAAGAGATTTCGGTTGTTACAGTTGCGCTGACTACGTCAAGCCAGAGCTGAGCGGATCAGCCTTTCACTGTCACTATGGGTGACAAGCTGCTCAGACTTCCTTCATGGGTTTCCTTGTGATCGGTGCCGCCTCTTCAGTGGCGGTGAAACTCGTCCGAGGATACACACGACGCAACTTTGAGCCTTTATAACTCCCTAGCTGGCCGTTTTCCGAACTGATAGCGACAGATATGGTATACGAGGGAACCTCGATTCATTGGAATTCTCAGAAACCATTTTTATAGTTGTCTGTGCATTTAATTCACTCAATGAGAATTCTTAAAGTAATCTCGGATGCTTAGCTCTGTCAAGGCTAAAACGTTTGAATGTTGAAGTCCGGCGAGAAACTCTATTGTAGTCATCATAACATATGTTTTCTATATAATTCTGTGAGAATGAAGAGCATTTTGCCCACTGCACAGGAAGGGGGACGGAACTTACGTGCGTCCGAGGATGCGCGCGGCGAAATGCGTGGGGATTCGAACGACTTTGGCGCTTATCATTGGGGCCCCAATTTGAAGTAGAGTAGATTAATAGTTTCAGCTGACCCTACTAAACTACTCTACTTCGAGTTTGGACCCCAATGGCAGGCGCCAGAGTCGTTTGTATCACCACGCACTTCGCCGCGCAATTTGCCGCGCGCATTCTCGGACGCACGTAAGTACCCACACCCCACAGGAAGGTATCCATTTGATGAACGACACCAGTACTTGTGAACGCGCACAAAGATACATATAAATACAGTAGCGCTTAAAAGTCTTTAGCCAAATGCTTCTTCAGTCGTACATTTCAGTCGTATTTCCTACTTGATCTAATCAT